TAAATCAACATCAACTCATTGAGCAAAAATAGAAGTTGCTGGAAAAGCCCAGCAGGTCTGGCAGCATCTGTGAAGGATGAAACAGAGTTAACGTTTCGGGTCCGGTGACCCTTCCTCAGACCCGAAATGTTAACTCTGTTTTTACCTTCACAGACGCTGCCAGACCTGCTGGGCTTTTCCAGCAACTTCTGTTTTTGCACAATGAGTTGATGTTGATTTAAAGTTTGATGCTTCTGGGTTCAGATTGATTGAAAATTGTATAATGGTTTGTTAGTGATATTCTGTTTGAATCATTGAACAGTTCCAAAAGCCAGGCTGACCTATTTTCTTAAATTGAGACACTTAGCTCTCTCATTTATGACAGAGTTGGGCGATATCAAAAAACTATCTGCTCGTAAGCATATGCATCAGATTTCATATCCCTGTACACCTATGTACAGACTCCTATTTGCTGCTGATAGCATATTCCTGGAAGAATCTGGGGAGGTCAGATTTGTAACATTAGTGAAGAATTAACACTTGCCCATGGTCTTTATACAAACAGGTGGCTCACTGAACTGCAACTAAAGAAAACCACACCATAGTGTTCACTGGGAGCAAAGGGACTGGGATAAATGGTGCACTGAACTTCCCCTGTCAGAACTAGCATTATCAAGCTAGTGAGCAGACACGTCCTCTTCACATTAGAATGGCCAACTTTATTTTCCCCAACTGAAGGGACAGGCCAGCTTTCTGCAGTGTTTCAAACCACACTCCCCACGTTATCATCCTACTCTGATCTTGACATTTTTAAAACTCATTTGTGGGATGTGGGTGTCACTAGCTGGGCCCAGCATTTATTGCCCGTCCCTGGTTGCCCTTGAGAAGGTGGTGGTGAGCTACCTTCTTGAGCCGCTGCAGACCACCTGACCCACAATGCTATTAACGAGGGAATTCCAGGATTTTGACCCAGTGACAGTGAAGTAATGGCAATATATTTCCAAGCCAGGATGATGAGTGGCTTGGAGGGGAACTTGCAGGTGGTGGTGTTCCCATGTGTCTGCTGTTCTTATTCTTCGAGATGGAAATAGTCCTGGGTCTGGAAGGTGCTGTCAGAGGATCTTTGGTGAATTTCTGCAGGGCATCTTGAAGATAGTTCACACTGCTGCTGCTGAGGGAGGGAGGGAATAGATATTTGTGGATGTAGTGTCAATCAAGCGGGTTGCTTTATCCTGGATGGTGTCAAGCTTCTTGAGTGTTGTTGGGGCTGCACCCATCCAGGCAATCGGGGAGTATTCCATCACACTCCTGACTTGTGCCTTGTAGATGATGGACAGGCTCTGGGAAGTCAGGAGGTGAGTTACTTTCTGCCGTGTTCCTAGCCTCTGCCCTGCTCTTGTAGCTACTGCAATTGTTTGGTGGGTCCATAGATTGTCATCTATGAAATGGGACTCTCACCCAGGGGTATTATTCCCTTCGGGGTATGATATCCAAATTGTTTCTCCAAATCTTCAGATTGCTTTTACAATTATTTCATGTTGACCTTCCAGTGCTTTGTACTCCATGATCATTTCGGGTTTCACTGTCGCAGGTACAGATCCTGTAGATTTGATTTCCTTTCTGTTGACATCTGTGGAATGGACAGTATGTGTATGTTTGTGTTCATGTTCCTGTCTGTGTGTGTTCATTCGTTCATTCATGTTTGTTGCCATTTGTTGATTCAATTTCCAAAATAACGGCAAATGTCACTTTTTCATCATGTTATCCCATTCCCCCTCCCCCTCACCACAATAAGAGCTTCAATAACGAGCTCAGAATAATCTGCTTATTGTGAACCATGTTCTTAGTGATCAGAATATATGGGGGTGAAAGCAGGAACAGGGGTCTGAGTTGGATGATCAGCCATGATCAGATTGATTGGTGCAGCAGGCTCGAAGGGCTGAATGGCCTATTCTTGCTCCTACTTTCGATGTTTATAATCAAGCTTACTTTTAACACAAGTGGCAACTACTGGTTAACAGCTTAAACTATGATCTGGAATTAAGTGATATATCTTTATACAGAAAAGTGTCAAAATAATTCCATCTCTTCCAGATTCCTTCACATCGTTCTTCAATATAGTTTTGTATTCCTGGCAATAGTTTCAGAAAATAAATATTCAGGGTTTGAGTGAAGATTTGTAGCTTGGGTGCTGGTTGTAGATGTTCATCTGCAGACTCCATCAATAACCACATTGAATTAGACCCGATATACTAACTATTACAACGCACAATTGGAACTGGCACCTACTGGAAGCAGCAAAAACCAGACAATATAAATGCAAACTGGCACAAGACAACAATGCTTCACAGGAGGCTCTACAGCACTGAGGATGTCACCTAGTAAGGGGATGAAACATTTGCTAACAAACCTCCTAGCTCGGTGAACACACCAACATCTAGAAAATAAATATGACCATTAAGAATTCTGCCAAACATTAACACATTATTTTTCATTTCACACATGTGCAAGTCAAATAAATGCATTTTGGGAAGTTGAAAAGATACACAGAGGATAATGTTTACATGACTGTATGGCAGATCAAATTATGTCTAATGCCTGTACCCTGACATTGAGGTTAGCTCAGGTGGCTGGATGGCTGGTTTGTAATGCAGAGTAATGTTAACACTGTGGAATCTATTCCTGCCCCAGCTGATGTCATCATGAAGGACTCTCCTTCTCAATGTCTCCCTTTGCCTGATGCATGGTGACCCTCAAGTTAAACCACCACCAGTCTTTTCTCTCTAATGAGACAGCAGCCCCTATGTTCTGGCAAAATGATGGCAAATTTACCTGACATTAATATAAGTTACATAAAGGGTTGACAAATTTATGTTGCTTGGAAATAAACTCTTTTGAAAATAAAGTCAGTTATGTAGGCTGGACATTTTTCTCTCTGGTATGGGAAATGTTTCAGAACCATCATTAAACAATGCCAACAATCTGGTTGTGTTTCTGGGCTGTAACTTATTGATGTGGGATCTGGAGTTCTGTGCATTTTTATCAGCACCCATATACTTGCTTTGGATAGATGGATTTATAATAACGTTTATTAAGTTTCTACTTGAAACTTTCTCGCAGTTGAACTCGTTGAGGAATGAAACCATTTGTACTCAGTCAATACAAAAGGTGATGGATCATCATTCATGGACTGGTATAGTCCAGAGTAGGCCAGCACATCTATGAAATCAACTACATCTCTATGTCCCATGTCATGACTAATTTTTATGCAGTAAAACTACCTGCAGTGAGAAATCCATGAATGCATAGAACCTTCCCATTAGTTCCTGGACCCTTGCAGTTTGTTCAGCCTTTCCTAATTTCATTGCTTTTGCCTTCCCATCGCTGCCTTTGCTCCTTATTCTTTGTCACTTTTAAATATTTGTTTGTTTATTGTTTTATTATGATTGCCACTAATTATTATGTTCCCAAAGGGACAGATAATGTTTACAAAAAAATTCAGACTTCCAATTAATGAGTGAAAGAGTAACATGTTGAGATTTCACATTTTTTAAAATCAAAACCTTTACTTTAACAAATGACTCATGATCACACTATTGACTAAACACCGTTTTCATTATGTACCTGACTTAGAACAGGTGGATTAAACCATCAGCACTCTGAATAATTCTTAAATGCTTTTCATGTCAAAGGCTAATGTGTGACTGGACGTGATTGGGATGTTGATGTTTGGAGTTTTAAGAGCTTTTTGGTCTTTATCCCTTCAGTGCAAAGCCTGAATCTGAGTGCTTACCCTGTAGTAGAACGGAGATGGTGGCTAGCAGGCCTGGAGTGAAGATGGCTACTTTTTGGGATCCATTGGAGCCTGGTCAAACCATGGGGAAGCCCTTATGAAAGTTGTAATGCCTATCTTTTTAGCTTTATTTCATATTTTCCTAACTTGTACTATGTATATCTGTAATGTGATGTAACATTTTTCTTTATTTTCTCTTTTTTGTCCCTAAGATTTGTATCTGGGTACTTTGTACCTAAGATGGGGTTGCGTGTTCGTGACATTGTACACTTTTCACTGTACTCCCGTTCTTTCGTAGCTTGAGTACATGTGACAATAAACCTAATTCTAATTCTAGTTTTGTCCAGTTTGTGTTTCGATTCCCTTGGTTGGGTGCATCTGTGATTTTATAGAGATGCACAAGTGGATCTTGGTGCCCTTCAGTTTGAACTCTGCATTGGCTGAGATATCTTGCTTTGAAAAATGGGTTAGAGAAAGATGGTGGTTCTTTTGATTTCTTTACCCTCTGCCTTCCCTCTCTATAATACACTTTTCCCCACTAGTACTTTAGTGCAAAATGGCAAAACTGTGAATTAGTGAGATGGGAGCGTAGGGTTTTAAATTTTAAGGGTTAGTCTTGTGAAAATCTTCTCTTTCTTCCAAAATTCTATAAACTCTGAGATTATTCATGCAGATCAGAAGAATGATTTAAGAAAGGAATCCAGTGCTCCAAATGATGAAGGGAAGTGTGCCGTATGTCTTCTTTATGACCTTGTTTACTTGTATTCATGAAGCCAGAAATATCATAGAATCCCTACAGTTTGGAAACAGGCCATTCAGCCCATTAAATCCACACTGACTCTTTGAAGAGCATCCGAACCTGACTCACTCTACTACCCTATCGCGGTGACCTTGCATTTCCCAGGGCTAATCCACCAATCTTACAGGTCACTGTGCCATCCCATATGTGGCTCAACCAGGTAATACTGTGATATCATTGAGCCAAAGTCACAGGACGGAGGCTCAGTGGTTAGCACTGCCGCCTCCCTAGGGTCATATTTGACATGAGATATTAACTTTCTCTCTCTCTCTCTCTCCACAGATTAAGTTTCTCCAGGACTTTCTATTTCTATTTTAACAACGTTGATTGGGTCATAAGTCCTTCGTGTTTCAAATGCAGCAAAGATTCTCTTTTTCGGGCTGGGGCTACTTTCCCTGGAACATTGGAGCCTGAGGTTCTAGGGGTTTCTAAAACCGTGACAGGTATGGATAAGGTGAATAGCCAAGGTCTTTTTCATGGGGTAGGGGGTCCAAAACTAGACGGGATTGGTTTAAGGGATGAGAAGGGCAATTGTTTTTCATGCAGAGGGTGGTGTATGTATGGGGCAAGCTGCCGGAGGAGGTGGGTACAATTACAACATTTAAAAGGCATCTGGATGGGTATATGAATAGGAAGGGTTTAGAGGGATATGGGCCAAATGCTCCCAAATGGGACTAGATTAATTTAGGATACCTGGTCAGTATGGACGAGTTGGACCGAAGGGCCTGCTGTACAGCTCAATGACTCTGTCTCAGCCATTAATAGTTCCTTTGTCTTCTGCGCTAGGCTACTACACATTCTACCCTCTTTCTCCTCTTCCACCTTTGTCTAAAAATATCAGAAAAAAATCATTTTCAATATCTTTCAGTTCTACAGAACAATCATACTGGAGTTGAAATGTTTAACTCTGTTTCACTGTTCAGAGATGCTGCCAGAATTTTTATGTTTCTGTAAGAATTCTGTGTTGGTTTCAGATTTCCAGCATCCACAGTGTTTTTTTTCGCTTTGTAATAAGTTCTATCCAGAACACTGAAAGAATCTAACTCAACTTGACTAAAGGATAGTCTGGGGACTTTAAATACCTCGCTGAAAGGGAAGGCAAGGCTGTATTTTAATATTTCATGAAAGGCAGATCTTTTAACAGTTCACTTCTCCTTCAGTACTACACTGAAGTGCAAGCTTAGGTTATATATTTAAGTATCTGGAGTACTGACATGAACATAGAATACCACAGAAGAGGAAAAGGCCCTTCGGCCCACCATATCTGTGCTAACCACTTTGCCATTCTAAACCAATCCCATCATCCTGTGCATTGTCTGTATCCCTCTGTTCCTAGCATGTTCATGTGTCTGTTCAAATGCCTCTTAAACATTGCTAATGTATGGTTTTTTCCCCCCTTTATTCATTCACAAGATGAGGGTGTCCCTGGCTAGGCAGCATTTATTGCCCATCCCTAATTGTCCAGAGGGCAGTTAAGAGTCAGCCACATTGCTGTGGGTCTGGAGTCACATGTAGGCCAGACCAGGAAAGGATGGCAGTTTCCTTCCCTAAAGGACATTCGTGAACCAGATGGGCTTTTCCTGACAGTTGACAATGGGTTCATGGTCATCATCAGACTCTTCATTCCAGGTATTTTATTGAATTCAAATTCCACCATCTGCCATGGTGGGATTTGAACCTGGGTCCCCAGAACATTACCTGGGTCTCTGCATTAACAGTCCAGCAATAATACCACAAGACCATCGCTTCCCCCATCTGCTTCTACCATCTCCCCTGGCAGCACATTCCAGGCACCTATCACCCTCTGCATAAAAAAAAGCCTTTCCTCACACATCTCCTTTAAATTTTTCCCATCTCACCATAAGCCTATGCTCTGTGGTATTTGACATTTCTTGCTTGGAAATAAAATGACTTTATATATTTCTGTCAGGTTGTCCCTCAGCCTTCAACACTCTCAGGAAAACAATCCAAGTTTGCCTAACCTCTCCGAATAGCTAATACACTCCAATCCAGACAAAATCCAACGCATCATCCTCCGACACTTCCGCCATCTGCAATCTGACCTCACCAGCAAAGACATTTTTCCCTCCCCACCCTTATCTGCTTTCCGGAGGGACCGCTCTCTCTGGGACTCCCTTGTCGGCTCCACACTCCCCTCCAGCCCCACCACACCCGGCACTTCTCCCTGCAACCGCAGGAAGTGCTACACCTGCCCCTACACCTCCCCTCTCACCCCAATCCCAGGCCCCAAGAAGACTTTCCACATCAAACGGATGTTCACCTGCACATCTGCTAATGTGGTATACTGCATCCGCTGTTCCTGTTGTGGCCTCTTCTACATCGGGGAAACTAAGCGGAGGCTTGGGGACTGCTTTGTGGAACACCTACGCTCGGTTCGCACTAAACAACTGCACCTCCCAGTCGCGAACCATTTCAACTCCTCCTTCCATTCCTCAGATGACATGTCCATCCTGGGCCTCCTGCAGTGCCACAATGATGCTACCCGAGGGTTGCAGGAACAGCAACTCATATTCCGCTTGAGAACCCTGCAGCCCAATGGTATCAATGTGGACTTCACAAGCTTCAAAATCTCCCCTCCCCCTAGCGCATCCCAAAACCAGCCCAGCTCATCCCCGCCTCCCTAACCTGTCCTTCCTCCCACCTATCCCCTCCTCCCACCACA